CCTTCTCTGGAGCCTTTGACTCCTCATTTGTAAAATGAGGGAGCGAGTCCGAGGTGCCTTCCTTTTCTGACTCCGGCTCCTGGAGTTGAGTGTCCCCGGGCACCTGGCGGGGAGGGCTCTGCCCAAAGTCCCCATGTTTCGTGGGGAGAAGAGACGCAGGGAGGCCCAGGATGCGTTGGGGGCGGGGGAAGGAGGTCTGGGTGGAGGCGGCCTCTTTTCTAATGGAAGCCTCGTTGGGTTCCTGGTTCTCTGGTTAGGCCCAGAGCCGGCTGCAGCAGCGCCCTCCTGCGGCGAATGCTGAGCTGTTTCCTGTGTCCATTAACCAAGTCAGGAGAATGTCACTGACATGCCGTCCCGTCCCCCGCCCCACCCCACACACACTCCCTCACTTGCGTCTGCCTTCATTCCAGGCGGGGCGGATCCTGATCCCCACCAGTCCGCGCTCATCGAAGGCCGGGGTGCTGGGGCCTCGGAGCCTTCTTCCCAAGCCACGGGCCCCCGGCCGGAGGAGGAGCCCCAGAAGCTTGACCGTGAGTGAGAATCTACTGTCCTCTGGCCGCAGCTGGGGGCTGTCCGGGGGAATGGGGGCGGGATGGGGGGACAGCTTAGGCCTTGGTCGCTCTCTGGCGAGCACTGACCTGCCCCCTGGGGCTCCTGGCCACACTTACTTTAGGGTTCCACGAAGGGAGTCACAGGAATCATGTGCTAATGAGCACGGGACTCTTTGTTATTCTCTTTAAACTTATAAAAGGAATTTAGAAGAGAGGAAGATAGAATTTATGTACATATTTAAATATATCAAAGAGTGGACAGAACAGTTCTATGCACACTCACATGCTCACAGTTGTTAACGGTTGGCCATATTTGCTTTGTGAGTGTGTGTGTGTGTGTGTGTGTGTGTGTGTACTTTCGTTGCTGAACCATTTTAAGTAAAATAATGCTTCATCCTTAAATACCCAAGAAATAAGGACAGTCTCATACACAACCACACCCCTGGCATTGGCCCTAATAAAATCAATGCTGCTCCATTAATCTACTTCCCTGTACAGAATGGGCATATTTTTAAAGCTATGAAACAGGAGCTCTCTGCCCATCAAAGAATAAGTAAAAGGCATTCAGCTGCTCATTGTGCCAGATGTTTATTTTACATGCTAACTGTTTCTCACCTGAGAGGGAATCAGCAGGTAGACAGAGTGCAGGAGTAAAAGCCAAGCAGGGTTTCTAACAGAGCGAAGTGGGGTGGGGGTGGCGGGGGCGGAGAAAGAGTCTGCGGACGTCCTGGGACCAGCTGGCAGCTAGCAGAGGCCACTGTGGGCTCGCTGTCCTTGCAGAGTGGCCGGGGCAGCAAAGAAGACCCTGATGTTGCTCGTGGCTTCTCTGCAAAGACTGGGTAGTGTGGTTAAGCATCAACTCGGCCGGCTGTCTGTCTTGTGGGCTGGAGTCCCTCCGTCCTCCAACCCCACCCGAGGCCAGGCCGGCACCCTTTCAGCCGTTCCTCCGACGGCATTTTGCAGGTTGGAAGGTCAGCGTTAGCCTTGAAAAGTATTTCCAAGCGCAGCCCGTCATTTGATGGCCTAACAGCCTTTGGAGGGAAGCAGAGCAGGGATTACGATCCACATTTCACAGGGAAAGAGAGGAAGGCCCAGAGAGATTAGGAAATGCACCCAAGGTCACACAGCTTGCTCAACCCAAGGCAGATATTCTCAGATCTGTGCGTTCTGAGGAAACAGCAGGGCACCAGGTGAACGTCTGAAGGACTGACCTGAGATGTCTTCCATGAAATCTCATGCCTTGGCCCAGTGCCCTTCCCCCGTGGACCTCCCAGCCTCTCAGAAGGAGCAGCCCTGGGATGTGGTGCTTCCCGCCCCGTCTGAGGCCTCAGGAGATGCTCTAGGGCACCCCGTTCAACACAGGAGGCCCATGCTGGTCTCAGAGTCCAGCACAGTCATTAGGAAGCGCGCTCTGTGCATCTAGAACAGCGGTTCTCAACCTGTGGGTCGTGACCCCTTTGGCGGTCGAACGACCCTTTCACAGGGGTCGCCTAAGACCATCCTGCATATCAGATATTTACATGACGATTCATAACAGTAGCAACATTACAGTTATGAAGTAGCAACGAAAATAATTTTATGGTTGGGTCACAACATGAGGAACTGCATTTAAAGGGCCAGAAGGTTGAGAACCACTGATCTAGAAAGATTCACTGGAATCCACTCTCTTCCAGAGGATACTATCATCCAGATGATAGTGCAGCTGCTCCAAGCCGTGGGAGACGAGTGGGATGAAGAGGTGAGGAGCCAAGGAGAGGTGGGGGTCCCCGGGGGCTTGATGCTTCCTCCCCCTCCTCCTCATCCTCCCACTCTCCCTCTCCCTCACTCTCTCCTCCCCCTTCTCCCCCTTCTACCTGCCCTACCTGCCCTCCAGGCCTCCCAGCCCCCCTGCTCTGGACTCTGTCACCCCCTTGCCTGGGGACACCCCCTAGCACTTGGCTGCGATTGAGTTGCTTCTCAGGGAGCTCTCCTCTCTCCTCAAGGTCAGGAACCTGGCCCAGTTTTTCCCAGGCCCCCTACAACTTCAAGGCTCTCAGCGAGAAGTGGCCCCACAAAACCCAGCCCCAGCCCCAGCCGTCGTCAGGAAGAAATCCCAGGAGAGAAAGCCCAGCCTCAGGAGAACCTCCTCTCATAAGAAGCAGGGCTCCGAGGAGCCCAGGAGAGCGGGGGCTGCGGATGCTCCCAGCCCGGAGTCCCGGCCGTCCAAGAGGCCCAGCTTCCTGTACATGTGCGTCGGGGGCCACCGGGCCTCCATCTCCAGCAGCGTTGGTGAGCAGGCTCACGGTTACCATAGCAACACTGCGGCTGCCTCCAGCTCTGGACGCTTCCTCTGGGCTGGAGCTGGCCCTGAAGAGCAGCCAGCCCCGTTGACCTTTGCTCTTCCCTGAGCAACATGGGGAGGGCCGTGGGGAGGGGAGGGGTGCCAGCGGGCCTCCTCCACACACCAGACCTCCCCGCCGAAGCCCCCACTGGGAATTGTATTCAGGGACCCCCATCGTCCTCAGCTCTGCACCCCAGCCTCCACACCCTGGCAGCGGGGAGCTGTGCAGGACGGAGGAGACTGGGAGGCGGGAGACCTGGGTTCTGAGCTGTACTTCCTATGTCGTTCTCCATCTCCGTGCCTCGCTCTCCTCGCCTGTAAACCAGGACACCTGCCCACTGTGGATCTAGATCAATGAGCCCTCGGCCGTTTTCTTACCTCCATTTTACAGATGAGGGAACTGATCGTTAGGGGGCAAAACAGTGATCAAGGTCATGGCCCATCAATGATGGAGCCAGAGGGAGAAGGATCTCCTGGGTGTCAGCGGGAGCAGCCTATTTAAAAGGAGGGGCAATGCTTTGAACCAGAGAGTGGGTTTTCCTGCAGGGGATTCTGGCCCGAAGTGCTGACTCATTTTACGCACTTACTCTCCAACTAGAGGATCAAGCCAGGCTGGTGGAGGGGTGAGGTCGCTAGGGGAGGGAGGCGAGGGAGTAAGCCCAGGAAGCCAGGTGTTCAAGTGCAAGGCCCTGCCCAGCAGCTCACCTCCACCCGGCTCACTCCCCCGGCTCACTCCACGGTGATCTGGCCACAGAGCGAACGGTGAAGGCTCTGTAGCATCTGTGCAGTAGTTAACAGCCTCGAACTAACAAAACACACTCACCATTTCATTTTGCTTCTCAGACTTGGAAGAACCTGAAGTCCAAGAGGCCTCGTCTACAGATTGTGGGGGTCCAAGTCCCTTCGAACTCTCCATCCACTCAGGAAGCCCGGAGCCCGGAGAGGACTTGCAGCCGGACAAAGCCTCGGAGTGCAGTCAGTACCCCTCGCCTCCCTGCCCCCGCCCCCCCGGGTCCCTTCAGAACGTCTGGCCTGACCCTGCCACTTGCAGAAGGGAAACAACCAGAGAGGCAGAGACTGGTCCTGACCTCTGAGTGCGGCAGGCGCCCAGCCACACCACGGTCACCCCCTGTCTGAGCCTCTGCTGCGAAACGCCCTCCTTGGGGGGCGGCCATAGGCGCTTCGAGGGAGGCATTGGCTCAGGGCACGGGCTGGGTAGACGGTGTGATTTAGGGCCTGGGTTTGAATTTGGGCTCTGACCTCTTGCAGCCGCATCAACTTGGACACGTTGCTTCTTCTCTGGCCCCAGTTTCCTCATCAGTATAAATGGGGATAATAATAGTACCGACCGCATAGAGCTGTTGGACGCACTAAAGGAGGGGATGCCCATGCAGCATTGAGAGCAGTGCCCCTTCGCAGCTGATAAACGTTAGCTGTCATTGGTTGTTATCACTATTGTTGAGGCTGTTCAGAGCCGCAGGAGAAGCAAAGAGGATGGGAAGGGGGAAGGGCCACAGGAGAGAAGCTCAGCAAATGGCAGCTGCCCTCACGATCATTACTGTTTCATGGCGGGGGGCGGGGGGGACTGGGGAGGGTGAGCTTAGAATCAGAATCCCTGTCAGTTCTGGGTGCTGAGGATACTCCTAAAGGCCTGCTCCTACCCCCTCTGCCTTGTTTGCTTTTCACAAAAATGTGCCTGGAAGGGGAATGGAGAGGGGCCCAGTGCCGTTTTCCTGTTTTCCTCTCACCTAATGGGGGGGCACCCATAGGTCCTCCCTGGGGAATGATCATGACTATGTCCCCTTGAAGCTGCCTCTGCCCTCGGCCCGCCTGAGGGATCTGTGAGTCCCGTGGGTCATGGACTGGGACAGCGAAAATGCAAGCTCCTTCGCACCTAGGAGACCAGAGAATCACCCACCCGGGCCTTAGGAAATGAAGACTGACCCACACTTTCTATGTCCTTTTTTAGAGGAATTTATCCAGAAGATCGTCGCCCTACTCCAAGATGCAGAGGAGCAGGAGGGGGAGAAGGTGAGGAGGACGTTCCCCGCCTAGACCCTGACCCTCACTATGGACCCAGGTCCCTGCCTGGCACCATCACTTCCCTGCCCTCCCCAGTCCTACATCCTGCCAGAGCCCTGCTCCGGCCCCTCCTCCCCCGTCGCCGCAGGCTCCCTCTCCACCCCTGAGCATCAGTGGCTCTTCCCTCTGGGCCACACCCCCCCTCTGGCCCGCATGGGTCTCTCTTCGTTCCAGGGGATGCTGGTCTCTTTCCCCAGCTCACTTGCAATTTCCTCAAAGTCCAGGGCCTGACTCGATCTCTCTCGTCTCACCTGCAGCAACTCCAAGTCCAGGAGCCAGAGGTGGCCTCGGAAAACCCGGCCCCACCCTACAGGAAGAAATCCCAAGAGAAGAAGTCGAGCTTCCGAAAAGCCTTTTCCCATAAGAAGCATGGCTCCAAGGAGCCTAAGAGAGCGGGGGCTGCAGGTGCCGCCAGCCCGGAGTCCCGGCGGCCCAGGCGGCCCACCTATCTGCCCCTGTGTGTGGGGGGCCATCGGCCCTCCATCTCCAGCAGCGTTGGTGAGTGGGCCTGCTGTTGTCATGGTAGCAGAGGCAGCCTCTGACCCCTGGCTTCCTCCAGGGCAGGGGCTGGCCAGCTGCATGGCCTCTGGTTCAGTCTTGACTTTTGCTCTCTGCTCTGAACAGAGCGGGGAGGTGCGGGAGGACCATGGGGAAGGAGAGGGGCGGGCTGCTGGCAGGACCCACCACTCCCCACACTCCCCGCATCCCACACACACACACTCCAGCATTTGAAAGCAACGGTGGTAGGAGAACAGTGCCTCTGTGCGTTAGGCAAGTGCTCCCGCTAATGGAGAAGCACAGGCCGAGGGCTGATGAAGGAGGGTAGGCCAGGGCTGTCTTTCGCTGCTCCCAGTGAGGACCGCTGGGCACAGTGATCCCCTGACCTCTGCAGTGATTCTCCATGCCACGCGCACACATAGTATCTCATTTAACCAGCTCACAACCTGCGAGGCCCGTCTTGTTACTCCCATTGGACAGATGGAGAAAGTGAGGTTCCCACAGGCTAAGGGACTGCAAGGTTACAGGGAAAGTTAGCTTACCCGGTGGGACCTGTTGGCAGGCCTGCTTGTTTTCCTCCCGGGCAGAGAGGAGGCCGAGGGATTTCGGGAGGGGGCAGGTAGAGTCCCGTGAACTCCTCTGACGTGGGCCCATGGAACAGGGGCCCCACTCCTGCAGGTGCCTGTGGACACTGCTGTCAGCCCCGGGCGCAGTGAGGCGCTGGAGACCTTGGTGCAAACACATTCACACCAGCTCCTTTTGCCCCAGATCCGGAGGGTCCTGAGTTCCGGGAGTCTTCGCCTGCAGAAGGGGGCCGAGTTGGATCCTCAGAATCACCCTCCCAGGCCAGAAGCCACGAGCCAGAAGGGAGACCCCTGCCGGACGGAGCGTGTGAATCTAGTTAGTACCACCTGCTCTCACCTGGGACGGTGCCCCGTGGACTTACCAGGCTGAGCCCGAGTAGGGAACTGGAAGGCAGCTGGCAAATGTCCAGGAGACTAGAAGGCAGGGCGGGGAGGGGAGCCTTTCAGCTGGGGCTGCCGGGGCAGAGTCGGAGACTGAGAGCCTTCTTCAGGCAGAGAACACCAGTCTATTCTAAGGGATGTAACTTCACCCCACCCCACCCCACCCCATACCATTGGTTTGCTTGAAGGGTTCATTAAATTCCTAGCTTGCTCCGGGTCCCATAAGGAGAGGTGTGCTGGCAAGCAGGCTGGGCGGGGGGCAGGGGTGGTGTCAAGCAGGGAAGCCCGATCTGCAGCCTTTGCAGATTTCTGTGGTACAAATATCGCCACTGTGGCCAATTTCAACTGCTGGCAGTTGATAACCAGGGCCCACAGCCTCCCCGACCATTTGCAATGAACCCTTGGTCTGAGCGGCCCCGCACACCGCTGCTGACAGCCTGGCCGGTGGGGACATTCCCGCTCCATCCGTAGCCGGGAAGTCCCCCTCCCCCTTTCTGGTCCCAGCTCCATTCCTGACCCTGCTGCTCTGAAGCCTGGGTGGGGACATCCAGGGCGCAGCTTTCGTATCTGTCAGGTGGCTGCGGGGGAAGCGTGGCCGCCCAAAGCCCCTTCTATTTCCGTAAAGCAGCCAGGCCCAGCTCTCAGGCCCAGCGCTAGCTCGGGAAGGACGCCCCTCTGCCCTTCACGACCAGCCTGTGCTGTGTGTTAGACACAGTCGTCTAAGCCACGTGTGACGGCACCACGTGCCCACTCTCCTTTATCTTCCAGGGGAGCTGGTCATCCAGCAGCTGGTGGCGCTCCTCCCAGGAGTGGATGGCCATTTGGGGGAGCAGGTAAGAGCACTCAGTCCCCCCGAGGCCTCAGCAACCCATGGCGGAGACCTCAGTTCAACCCCCATCTCTGTGTCGGGGTGACCTTGGGCGTGTCCCTTAGCCTCTCTGAGCCTCACTTTCCTCTTTTGCAAACTGGGGGATAAATACCTTCTTAGCAAAGTTTAGTGCATAGATAGAAAGTGCCACACAGGTAGCAGATGAGATACAGGTTAGTTTAAAAGAATATAAAGCTCGTGTGGCTCCCTGCCAGCCCGGCCACCCCATCCGAGTCCTCCCTGAAGCTCAGCTCAAGTCCCACCTCCCGGAGCCTCCTTCCGAGTCCGGATGGACTTGACTGGGGGAGGTCCTGGCACACTCTCAGCACCTATGTGACCTCCAGCTCGTTCAGGCTTTTAGATGTTCCTCCCTGGCTAGACAGCCTCTACGGGCGGTTCCCTGCCCTGGAAACCTCCGTCTCCTCAGAGAGACACACAGATCGCTCATGAAGGGTCACTGGTGGCAGCGCAGGTCGCAGATGAGTGAGTCGTGTGGCGGCCGCTGTAGGTACCTGACCTCACCGTGTAGCCCGGCCCAACTGCACCTGCATCCTTTGGCCGAGGACTGGCCCCAGAGCCACTTTACCACCCACATGGTAGGTTAGAATGAACACCCTCCACCTCCCAGGAGCTCAACCAATGGCTGATGGGAGCTGGTGGGTGCACACCCCAGCCCCTCGCTCCGGGGCTGGTTTCTTGAGTTCCCGAGGGGACTGTGTGGCTGCTCTCCCATCTGAGCTCCTCATTTCCCATCAGGGTTTCCCCGGGGTCATTTCCCCATAAGAGAGCTGCACCCCAGACCTGTCTCTGCTCGGCCTGGGGAGGGGGAGAGGGGCGGGACCCAATCTAAGACATTTAGGTAGTAAGAGGAGGCGTAGGGTGGGAACTAAAATTCATCAACATCTAGGCTGACACATTTTACATAAACCACCTCATCAACCCCTCGCCCGGATAATCAGGGCGGGGGCATCAGCCTCCCGTTTCTACAGACCGAGCCGAGTCTCCGAGAGCTCACAGCGTAGGGGCGGTTAAACCCCGCTGTCCTGTTCCAAACACCTGCCCCTCGCCCCCAGGTTGTCCTGCTGTTTGCAGTGGGACCTTGCAGAACAGATTCTGAGCGGCTGTGGGAGGAATGGAACCGGGAGCTTATCCCAGGGACAATGAGGCCCGGCCTGGCTGCATGGAGTTGAGGGAGAGGCCGTGGGTGGGAGGGTCCCCTGCCAGCAACACTGATGCCTGCCTTCATTTCTGCTTCCAGATCAGGCGACACCCCAGCCTTAAGAAGTTTTTCTACCAGCTCCCCGACGCCTCCCTCAGAAAGCTGGCGGCCACCCTGCGCAGACGGGGCGCCTGCTCCCCTGCGCCCTGCAGGGGCCTCCCGGAGAGGCCCTACCAGTTTGCCTTCGACTTGGCCAACAAGTACGCCGGCAGGAGTGGGCACACAGCCCTCAGCCTGATGGGCCTGCGCTACCCCCAGCTCCCACACACGGAGGCCCAGCAGGTGAGACACCGCGATGTGGCACAAGTGACGAAAAGGTTGACAAGGTCGGGGTCACGACGGGATCTACTCACTGTCCCCCCCCTCCCTGTCTAGTTCAGGACTTTTGGGGTCCAGCTGAAGTGCCACCTCCTTGCTGAGGCCTTCTGAGGCAGCTCTACACCACGGTGACCTTTTTCTTCCCCCAAACCCTCACGGGCTTTACTTGATAATTAACATCTTCTTCATTTGGCTCTGGTCTCAACTGTGTGTGTTTCCATACTTTTTGTTAAGGGAATTCATCTTTTAAAAAAAAAATATGTTTTTTAAATATACTTTTATTGATTTCAGAGAGGAAGCGAGAGGGAGAGAGAGATAGAAGCATCAATGATGAGAGAGAATCATTGATCGGCTGCCTCCTATTGGGGATCATGGCTGCAACCCGGGCAGGTGACCTTGACTGGAATCAAACCCGGGACCCAGGCCACTGAGCCAAACCGGCTAAGGCTTTAAATATGTTTTTATTGACTTTAGAGAGAGAGGAAGGGAGAGAGAGATAGAAACATCGATGAGAGAGAAACATCCATGATCAGCTGCCTCCTGCACACCCTCTACTGGAGATCAAGCCCGCAGCCCGGACACGTGCCCTGCCTGGGACTCAAACGGCGACTTGTTGTATGGGACAACACTCAACCAGCTGAGCCACACCGGCCGGGCCACTTTCATGCTTTTTGATATCAGCATGGGATATGGGACTGGCTGCTGTCTTAGCTTACCCTCTTATTGTTCCGTGGGTTCTGCTGCGTGGCTTCCCAATCTGAGACTGCCATAAAACTGAAACAACGAAGCAGAGTGAGGTTGCATATCAAACGAGGGCTGGAGGAGTGAGCACCCGGGGGCGCTCCTTCACAGGCCTGGGTCCTTGGTTAAGACCCTCCCCTGCCCCACGCTCACTCTTCTGATTGCCTCATGCTTCCCCCTCCCCCAAGACTCTGAGATTCCCATTTAGAAATAACACGCACCACTGATTTTTTTAAAAATCTGAGTTTTCACATGTACTCTGGAAGACTCGGATAAACAGTTTCCCCCACTCCTTTCAAATCCACTTAAAATAACCTGCTTACAAACACTGGGCCCTGATCTGAAGCTACTGAATGAGGGTGTGACTTTAGAGCAGTGGTTCTCAACCTTCCTCATGCTGCGACCCTTTAATACAGTTCCTCATGTTGTGGTGACCCCCGACCATAAAATTATTTTCGTTGCTGCTTCATAACTGTAATTTTGCTACTGTTATGAATCATAATGTAAATATCTGATATGCAGGATGTATTTTCATTGTTACAAATTGAACATAATTAAAGCATAGTGATTAATCACAAAACAATATGTAATTATATGTGTTTTCCGATGGTCTTAGGTGACCCCTGTGAAAGGGTCGTTTGACCCCCAAAGGGGTTGAACCCACAGGTTGAGAACCTCTGCTTTAAAGGAAAGAAATGTTCTGTTTGTTGGTGTTGGACACACAGAACCAGAACTTCTACATCCTAATGGCCCCCCCGGGAAACGGGAGCGTCATTGCAATGTCGTTACCATCACTCAAACACTCTGTCTTCCTCTCCTGGAATGAATTACCCTTGGAAGCCATGTGCTCAGTCTTACAAGCTACACATATTTGCTGCTTGTTATTCAAATGCTCTGCCCAACAGTGGCTTGTTCTCCCGGTGAGAACTCCTTGTGACCTCACACCTCTCCTTTCTCAGCCTTACCGTCTTCTCCCGAGAATGGGGATATTACAGGTCATTTGCCCTCTAAGATGGGCTAGGTAATAGTTTATAGAGCGATCTGAGTTCTTTGTGGAAGATATTGGAAACATCAGTTCTGACATCCTCAGTAGCCCTAATTCCTTCCTCTGGTTTTATCATTCCTTCACTCATTCATTCATCCACTTACTCATTCAACCAGTAGATAGTGTGCAAGGTGCTGTGAGGGCCTGTGGGAGGTTCTGCTAGTGGAAAAGACAGACTGATCCCTGCTGACAGAGTTAAATATCAATTCCATGCCATATTACTGGTAACTGAGGTCAAGGAAGCAAGTTGGCTCTGGGAGACTTCCAGGAGGTGGCAGGCATTGATTTTCACTTTCGAGGCAGGAGAGGCTGTAGATGGGGAGAAGGGACCAGGAGAGCACTGTGGGCAGAAGGCACTGTGTGAGCAGAGACCCGGAGGGGGGGCTGGTGTGGTGTGGTGACGAGTGAAGGAGATGTCTATTGTTATCAGACGCCTTGGGCTCTGGCTAACACCTATGTTCCTTTTCTCCTCAGAACATCACAAGTCTTGACTTCCAGAGTCCAGATTAAAAGCTGTGCCTTGCACTCAAGTGCCCTTGAACTAGTCAAGCAATTGGTGGCTTTGCCAGGAGACCCCGAAGATGCTCCATGATTGTCCCAATCCGCTGCTTCCCAGACACGACTGCAGACAGAGGACAGCCTTCCGTGTCCTCACATCGCCGTGGGCGTGAGACTGAGAGTGCACGACGCATTCTCCCACAGAGCGACAGGCAGACACACCCTGTTGGGAGAAATAGCACTGGACTGGGAGTTAGGAGACGCCGGGCTTCAACTGCTGACCTGCTTCAAACTTGCTGCAAGACCCTGCATGTCCCTGTCCCCTCAGACCTTGGATTCTGGGTGGAGGGGACCCACTGTGTCCCTTCTGGTTCTGTGTTCCGAAATCTGTCTAAAGAGGGGTGGTGAGTGCTTTTCTGCTGCGGCTAAACATAGCCTCCCCACTGAGCTGGAGGCACTCGCCGAATGAATGAATGAATGAATGAACAGAAAGGTGGAGAACTCCTGAGATCCAGGCAGCTTGTCAGGCATCCCTGGAGGCCTTGCTCCTCAGCTGGAATTGTACAACCAGGGGTTCTGTCTCTACGCTGTGGGGTGGGGAGGAAGTGGGGGAGCCACCTCGACAAGCACTGGACCAAAGTCTGCATTCTGGGGACAGCCCTGGTGCCCACTTGTGCCCTTGAGTGTCTCCTGGTTTTCACTTTCATTTAAGAGTTACCAAGTCCTTAATCTTATTTTTTTTTACCGGCATGTATTTTATTGACCCACAGAGCTAAAAATATGGCTACTAACATATAGAACACCTGCTGACATTTTTTTCAGGTGCTGGTTTTAAATGAATCTTAGTTTCAAAAGTACATTGAACCTCTTGCCAGAACATCCACATGCATTTGAACAGGTGTGCCTCTATGTGCGACACATCATTTATTCAGTTGACAGGGCCCACAGGGACTTGTAGACGCCGCCCAGGAACTCTGCAGGCCAGAGAGGGAGGACCTACGCACTGGGGCTCGCTGTCTCAGACCTTGCAGCCCTGCGTCCTGTAATTCTATGGGCAGAGAAAGGAAGCCGGTGCCTTGCAGCCTCGTGTGGGCGTTTGCCGAGAGCGAGTGAGAAGTGAGTGTGAAGGTTCTGAAGATGGCATAGTGCCTTGTCCACTGTGTCATTGTCAGATAGTGTTATTATAGCCACAACGCGGTAGTTTTCAGGAAATGGGGAGGGTTCCAGCTGGCTCACCATGGGCTGCACGGCGCGCTGCTCAGGGGCACCTGGCGCAGGAAGTGCTAGTCACCCCTGGGCCTTGTGCATTTGTAGATTTCTGAGGACAATTTTCCAGCTCATGCAGGGTCTCGTTTGTGTCCAAAGGTGAAGGGTGGACCGTCAGGGGCTCTGCCGTCTACCCAACTGAACAGTTTCAACAGCTTGGCCCCAGGGAACCATTTCCATGTACCATCACCTACAGGCACGCCCGCAGGGCTAGGACCACAGCCTGACCCAGGGGAGGGGTGCTGACACCTGGATGGCAAACTCAGTCTTGTCAATGAGCACCATGGGGTGGGGCTGGGGTGGAGAAGCCCCGGGCAGAGAGGCCTTGGGTGTTCAGATGGGACTGACCTCAAACCTGAGGCAAAGTTTAGGAATCTCAACTAATCACATTCTGAAAGTCATTTAGTGTTATTGCTGCTAAGAAGGGGTGGGGGGTGGGGGGTGAGCGTTTATCTTAGGTGGTGTGTAGGAATACAGCGCCAAATGTGAAGGATGGGAACCAGTTTTAAATGGGGGTCAGGAACCTTCCGTCCGTGGTTTCTCATTCGGAATGGTGCTCTTTAAGCTGCATGCGTGTTTGGTATGAGCTCCCGATGCTGGCATCTGTCTCATTTTTGTACTGTGTTATTTGGACAAATAAAGAAACAATTTGCACTGAGGTCTCAGGTGGGTCATTCACAGTGGAGACAAGACGGGGGCCCACAGCCACATCCAGGCCGGTCATGTGCCTGCAAGGCTGCGGGTCGGCCTCCTCGTCCAGCCGGGGTCCCTGTCTGGACGCTTTCCTGGTGTCCCCTCCTTGGGTGCCACCTTGCTGAGGCAGTGACAAAGGTGCTCCGGGCTGGGCCTCGGGCGGGAGAGGCTGCCCACAGGCTGACGACCTTGGAGACAGACACTTGCCCTCCAGACCTGACATCCTGCACCTCTGCGGCTCTTAGGGTGACAGTTCCTTCTTACGTCCCGGAAAATGTGGGCCCGGCCTCATTCTCAATCATCTGTTTTATCCGTCCTTAAATCCTGGCGCCCAAACTCTGTCACTCAGAACCAGGATAGACTTGGCAGAAGCCAGTGCCTGGTTTGGGTCTGGAAACGTGGTCTCCATCGGAAGGCATCGCAGGCCTCCTTTCCCCGCTCAGATCACATGGGAGTTCTGCCGTGGCTCCTGGGGGAGGCGACCCTGTTGTGTGATGGCTTGTGTTCTTTTCAAACCACATTTCCGTTCCCGGAGCCCGGATGCTCATGGGGAGGGAGGAGAGGGCAGTACTAGTATCCTCACCTCCCAGATGAGGAAGCTAAGGCTCAGAGTGGGCGGTGCCTTGTTCAAGATCACAGAACCCCTGTAATAATGCCCCCCTTACTGTCTAATCCAGCGGTCCTCACGGACCTCACGGACCTTTAACCCATTAACTCCTATATCAAACCAGCATTTATCGAGCACTTACCCGGGCCAGGGCTGATGTAAAAGACACAATCCCGCCCTCGGGACGCTAACGGACCTCAGTGGCTATGGGACTTTTGTGCCGTTGGGAATACAGGGTGGGGGACACTGTACGATGGTGGGCCTCCCTCAATTCAGACCCCGGAGGTTTGCAAGTGCCCTGCAGTGCACGCGACCCTGCTGCTTTGAAGGCTTTTAAAGGTGGGCAAGTAACATCAGGACATAATTAAGCTAATTTCTCACCCTGAGCAGTCAGGAGGCTAAGCGGGTGAGTCAGAGACAACGGGGTCAGCAGAGAACTGGTGAGTTGGGGGTGTTAGCTGGTCACAGAGAGGGCCGCACCGCCGCTGTCATTCAGATTCGCTTGTTTGGGAAACCAGTGTGTTCTGGCCTTGGCCCCAGTGAGGCCTCCCAGTTTCAAAGCAGGTGACTGGCTTCAAAAAACAATCCATTCGTGTGTTTTTTGTTGTTTTTGTTTTTAAGAGCATAAAAAGGAGAAAGGAACTACTTAGGGTTACCAAATTTAGCAAGTAAAAATATGGTGGCCCTGTTAAATTTGAATTTCAGATATACAAAAAAAAGTAATTGCAATACTGGGGACATACAATACTGGGGACATACTTATACTAAATAAATACTCATTATTCACCTGAAATGCAAATTTAACAAAGCTTCCAGTATCTTATCTGGCAACCCTGAAACTAATGCAAGAACAATTCTTTTGATTACCTCAAATGGGGGAAAAGGAAATTAAGCAAAATGAAGGAAAATATATAAGGGGACTTACTGATACTTATAACTACAGCATGAGAGCAGCTGGGCTCTGAATCCGGGCTCTGAGCTAGACAGCAGGTACTACCCTGTGCAGTTCTTCCTTGCACACCAGGGGGCACTCACTCCTGAGCTGTGCAAACTGAGCCTCCCCCCCCCCCTCCCCCCCAAGGCTCAGGCCTCTGGGCATAGCCATCTGCACAAGGAGAGGCCTGCAGCGGAGGTCCGGGCTCTCAGAACCAGGCACTCCCTGGGCCACAGAACCAGGCAGGCAGGGGTCCAAGTACACCCGAGACTTGACTCTGCTCAGGCCTCTCCCAGGCACATCCGGGTCTTCCGGGCAGAAGCTTCTGAGGGGCTTGTCCCGTTACGCGCAGGCTCCACCAGGGCCTCCTTCCATACGGCCCCCTCCCTCCGCGGCTAAATCTGCTCCGTCCTCCTGGTGCCCAGCCCGGTTCAGGGCCGCCTCCCACCCAGCCCCTGGGTTTGGGGTTCGAGGGCTTGTTAGGCAAATGCACCTGAGGCCTTGGACAGCCTGGGCTCCCTCACTGGGCCGGTCGGGCTGGAGGTCACGACCACCCTGGGGCTGGAGGGGCTCCTTTTTCGGGACAGGCTGGGGAAACTGAGGCTGGAGGTGTCTTTCTTGTGGAACATTTCACTTCGGTGTGAACAGCGGAGTCTGCCCTCATTCGGGCTGGGGGCGGGGAGGGACGTCTGGCCCCATTTCCTCTACAGCCACACAGACTCAGGGAGGCCAGAGCCGCCAGCCCCACTCGCTGCCCCCCAGTCCTCGGAGCCGGAGCCGGGGAGGCTGCTGCCGCCCCAGCTCCATCAGGGGCTCCAGAGGCGGCCGAGGCGGTGGCCAGTCCACGTGGAGCCTTTAGTGAATGGAAAACAAAACTCAAGAACTTGGTCTCTTGACCCCACAGGAAATGGGAGAGTGTCTGTGGCTCAGCCCTGCCGGACCCTCCAGAGTTTTGCCCCGTGGACTAGATCCCGCAGCTGGGACCCATCTGGCCCACGCTGGGGCTGGGGGGGCGGGGGAGGGAGGAGCAAGACCCCGGGCCCGCCAGCAGGAGGGCTGCGCTGCATGCTCCCCAATTCCCGTCCTTGTCCGCCCGTCTGTCCAGAGCAGGGGAGGAAGCTGAGAGGATGTGAAGACAGGAAGGTGCTCGCAACAGGCTTGATAGTGGGTGTCACCCTGGTCCCCCAAAGGCCAAGGGCGAGGGGACAGCGTCTGAGGACAGTGGGGAGAAGGCTCGGCTGGGTTCGTCAGGTTCTCTCCCGTTCCAGCTCAAGTTCTCGCTCTCGGCTCACAGCTTCCTGGAGAAAGGACACAGACTCATCATTGCTAAGTCCCCCGCCTCGGACTTCCCTCCCCGACTCCCAGGGAGAACATTCTCACAGCTGCGTATCCTGGGGCGTCCTGGGCACGTGCCAGGCCCCACCATGGCCGCCTGACGCGTCCAAATCGGAACTCTCCATTTACACCAAAAGCCAGTTAGAAGTTCACTTCGTTACTAAGAGTGTTTGAAACATTATGGGTTTACAAAAGTCCGTTAATATGTGGGTTTTCGGGAAGGGGAAGAGTTGGAGGCCCCGCACCCTGGCTAAGGATACACTGCCAACACAGGTGTAGGCACCGCGCGAGCCTTATGGCACATGTTATTGTACGGCTTCCCATGCTATTTACACAGCTCTGTCGCTCTGTGCGTCACTCATACAGATTTCTGCAGTTAGCAGGCAATTGTTCTAACAAAAGCAGTGCATATGACAACCTTCCACAGCTGGCAGTCTAGTTCTCAGGGAAGGGGTGCTGTTTTCTTAGTGCACAGGCAGTGCATGGGCTAGTGTTGGCCTTGACTGTGACCAGGAAAGGGGGGGAGGGGTAGAAAGGAAACTGGGTTGAGGGTGCTCAGGGGTCACCACAGCATCCCGGGACAGGGCAGCCGTGTCTGGCCTCCAGGGACACCCTGGGGAGTTCCACACCTCGGGGCTGCTGCATTCCTGGGTCCCGCTGGGGTGAGGCCTGTAGGTGACCCACACAGTCTTGGAAGAGGAGAGCGCAGAGAAGTCAAGTGGGCAGGGAGCAGACCTGGGAGTGAGGAGAAAGGAGACAAAAATGGGGGGATGGGAAGACCTGAGTTCCAAACGCTCCTCTACCTGCTGTGTGACCCTGGGCAAGTCACTTGCCCTCTCTGGGACACTGCAGGAAGGGACCTGCTGAGCCCCTTGGAGAAATGCTGGATGTGAATGTGCATATTCCTGGATACTTTCCAGTCTGACTGTGTTATTCTAGTGTTTAAACCCTGTGATGACTCCCCAGCACCACAGGCAAAGCCCAGCCTCCTTAGCACGGCACCCTGCCCCGCCATGTCTCCTGTGCACCTCCGAGTGCACCTCCAGGCCTCTCCCTGCCCAAACGGAGAAACAGGACTAGACCCTGCGACTTCCGACTCTGACTCCAGCTCCGGTGGCTGCCATGGGTGGCCAACACCTGGTGACAGACCCCTGGATTCGGATCCTGCCTCTGCCACCATCCAACTGTGTGACTTTGAGGATGTTCCTTAACCTCTCGGCGCCTCAGTGCTTAGAACCTAATAACTGCTATAGAAATTTTAGCTGTTATTACTACATTCACATTCGAACAGGTGGAAATTCCATAATAACTCAAAGGAGAGGCTCTCCAGTGTGGAAATTGGGGGAATCTGACAGACTTGGTAGCAATTAGGGAAATCTGAGTAGCAAGTAGCAAGATGGACCTCTTCCCGTTCCACCTGCAGCTGCAGCAGTCCTCATTTATCTCTTGCACTGAGCCAGTACACAGCGAGTGAGATGACGACAAGGCGAGCAGAGGAAACTATGCTGACACATATATCTGGCCATGCTCAGAGAAGGACCGTTCTGGCAAAAACTGCTGGTCCTGGGACGAAAGGGCCAGGGAGCAGGCTTGACCCCAGCCTGTGGCCCAAGTAGAGCTAGTCCATCCAACCCATAGGCCCAGAAAGAGAAAAACAAATGTTTGCTTTGTAATGCATTGAGGTCTGGGGTGGGTTGTTTGTTATGCAGCATTATCATAGCAGCAATAACTGACTAATACAACTGCATCATAGTATGTATGGAACACCCACACTGTGGCTTTCATTGTAGCCTCTCTCGTTTTGGGGGGGAAGAATATCAGCTGGGGACCAGGAGTTTACACAGGACTAGCCGTTGGATGAGACAGTGTCCCTGTGATTGTAGTTTGGGAGACAATGAGCAGATCACACCTTCTTCTCTATGCCTAGCATTTTTGAGCTTCTCTTTTCTGCACCCTACCCTGGTGTTTGAAGCTCAGAGCAGTGGAGTTACTTAAGCTCAATTGGTGAGTTGCCTCCAGGCAGTTTCATAACCTGTTCTGGAAAGGAGCATTGCGGACAGAACAGCACGTGTGACCACCGACCAGAGTCTCCCACAGCTTATGAATGTTGTTTTGTCTGTCTGACCCCAGCCCGCTTCTTCATAAAGCACCTGGATTCCTAGGAGTTTGTCCCCAAGCAACTCTGGCTGAACTGCAGAGTTCCCACTGCTCTGACGTGTGGGGAGAGGCCTGACCCGGAATCAAGGGCCTGAGTCGGGGCTGGCTCCCAGATAGCACTCCCACGCCCCCTGCAGACCTGCCCACATGCTCCTGACCTGAGCTTCTAGGGACAGAGATGTAGACACTCAAGGTCAGGGAAGTCTTGGAGTTGGACACCAAGGAACAGAGTGAGAATAATCCCAGGCTGCACTGACCCAGTGGCCACCAGTGGCCGCCAACTGCTTGCTGGGTCCTGAAGCCTCCCTGCCCATCCCAAAGGTGCCTGGGGGTCTGGCCTGGTTCCAGTGACAGTTCTGAGAACCTCCCCCCCACCATACTGCTTCCCACCACCCACCAGGTACCTACCCGCCCCAATCCCTCTGCCTACCCAGGGACCCCTCCCGGGACAGGAGCAACCTGGAAGGATGTCCCTTAGAATGATTTTGGGATTTTTCTTCTGAGCAATAAACGCTTGAAGAAAATTAAATAGCAGCGCAGGTCTGTTCCTTCAGAGAATACTTTGATAATCCAGCAAAGTAATTACAGGTGATACCAGCTTGGTTTGTGTTTGAGGCTGGTGTTCTGGGTTTGCCAGTGTGTATGTATGGCTCCATGTGCCTAAAAGAGAAGCTTGGAAAAAATAATAATAATAATAAATGAAGGCTTGGTTTCTATGGGGCTCATAGTTCGTCAGATCGGTAGGTTTTATTCTTGTCTTTGGCCTGAAGTTCAAAGTTCAAGAGAAACTCTTGGAAGTTGGGATTGAGTTTAATTCACCTTTGATTTCCCCGGAGCCCAGAAGAGTGCTGGGCGCTTACTGGGTGCTCCGTCAATGTCGATCAGTGAAATCAATGACAATATAACATAGTAAAAAAGCTATAGGAAGCCGGCCTACGCTGGCGAGGGTTTTTAGCTGTAGGGTGGGAACAGTCAAGAGCTCTACGTGTTGAGGGTCACGTGGGCCCCGACCTGTCTAGTTTGTTTTCTAGTGCAGTTCTACCCAGGAGCTGAGAGGTACTGGCCCGCCTCCGGGAGTTATATAACCTTGGCGTCTGCTAGTTGTTGGCTGCTGCTGCACATCTTGCTCCCTGCGAAGCACCGTACATAGTTGACGTCACTAAACGCTCACTGAGTGAGACCGTGGCTGATCGCGGATCTCATGTCGGGTGCGTCCTCTTCCAAAGCCCAGCTCCTAGCCCCACTCCTGACCCCTCTCAGCCCTGTAATCTTCCTGCAGCCCATGCCCACGCCGCTCCTGCCCGTGGGATGTAAGAACGTTAGCCATGCTCACTGCACTTTGCTGCCTGGCTTTTTGGGTCGCGGATGTCTCGGGAAGCCTTTTCTGGCGCTACTTGTCTTTGGTTTGTTCTTCTTGAACGCCTTGTTCACCCAGTTGGAGTCTCCGGCAGGGCTCGTCCTGGGCAGAGAGAGGCGGTAGTGGTTTTTTAGTGACGTTCCTGTGTCCACCCCCCCCCCCCCCGCCCCCAGCAGGGCCCTGCTCCAGCTGAGAAGGTGTCAGACACACCAGAGCGTGGCTCTGGGCCTGGGAGCGTCGGAGTTCCCAGCGGCCTTTATTTTGTAATCAATGAATATTTGTCTGAGGAACATGCCAACTAGTCAACAGAAACTCTAACTTTCACATGGTTATATGTCAATGCAATAAAGTGTAAATCATGTGAACAAAATGCATACTTTATGCCCAAGCACAAAATTATTAAATGTATGCAAACTCTGCCCTGGCCAGTTTGGCTCAGTGGATAGAGCGTCAGCCTGCAGACTGAGGGGTCCCAGGTTCAATTCTGGTCAAGGGCACATGCCTGGGTTGTGGGTTCCATCCCCAGTAGGGGGCGTGCAGGAGGCAGCCGATCAATGATTCTCTCTCATCATTGATGTTTCTGTCTCTCTCTCCCTCTCCTTTCTGCTTTGAAATCAATCTATAATAATAAAAGGGTAATATGCTAATTAGACCTGACATCATTCCAGAGGTGTTTCTGGATGAAGCTGGGGGGTTGGAGGGAAGTCCGGGTCCCAGGTGCCAGAGGGAAGCCGGTGCCAGCAGTTGGGAGAAGAACGGCTGACTCTTGCACGAATTTTGTGCATCGGGCCTCTAGTAAAAATATATTTTAAAAAATTTATGCAAACTCATTCAAAAAGTTTTATATTGAAACTATACTGGGAGAAGGAATCAGGTCTGTTTTAATGTATTTGCTATGATGTGATATGGAGGGGCAGCATGAAAAGTAAGGGGCCCTGCTCTCCCAACCCCCGCAGCTGTGGCCAGAGAGAAGCCCAGCCACCACCAGAGCTGCCCAGCGGCAGGGAGGGGTGAGGCTTGGGGGGAGGTGCCCGGTCCACCCTCTGACCTCCTGCTGGTGCCTTGCACTGGCTCGCCCACTGCTTTCCAGCCAGTGAGGGAGCCTGGGAGCTTAAAAACATAGAGGTCCCCAGACCCCCCTCGGAACGACTGCAAAGATAGTCACGGAGCATCTGTGACACGACCCCGACCGCTGATGTGTACCCTGAGAAAGGTTTCTCTGGGGACCACCCACAACACAGGAAGGTTAGCCTCCTTATCGTGCTGGCAGCAATGAGCTGGGTGAAGGGAGGCCCTCAACTCATCGCGTGCAGCGGCCGCCAGGGCTGGGGTGCAGCGGCCGCCAGGGCTGGGGTGCAGTGCGCTGCTTGCTCTCTCGAGCTGAGCCGTCACCAGTGTCCCTCTGCACTTGAAGGTGCGTGCCCGGTGCGCGGAGCAGGGAGCTGAGGAGAATGGCACTGTCGGCCTGAAAGGCCCCTTTCCCACGCATGGTCCCCACCGAAGAAGACAGGAGGTGTTGGTGGTCTGTAACCACACAGACTGGAAAGGGATCCCAGTGTCCCCGGGGCGGGGAACGAGGCGGAAGTGTCCCTTAGCGTTCCCCCGTCACAGGAGAGAACTCCGTCTCCGTGGGGGGGAAACTCACGCGGCGTCCGGCTTGCTGCTGGTCTCCTTCATGGTCGCCAGAGGCGCGGTGCTTTGGGGCTTCAAAGAGGCCAGAGGAACTGCAGCCAAAAGGAAAATGCAGGAGACGGGAGTGAGATGGCGTGGGGGAGGGGTGCTTACTCTTTTTATTTGTTTGTTTGTTTGTTTAATTTTTTTTGTCACCCATCACTTCACCGGCATGCTGCTCAGCCAATAGGAGGCAGGACATTTCGTAAACAGCACAAAGGCGAGGGAATTTTCCCATCATGCAAAAGCTACTGTCTGTACAGTATTTTGTAGGTTACAAAGTGTTTTCATCTACATTACCTCATTCAGGGCAGGCCTGCCTGTCCCCTCCCTTTCCCTGTTTTTAAGAAAGACACAGTGAAATGATATGACCAAGTTTTAGAAAGGACCGAGGGAAGACCAAACCCTTCTCTTACCCCCAAAGTAGATAAGGGGGCCCTAAATCTTAAAACATGAAAAACAAAACAAGTCTGTCTCCATTTCTATTTTACCTTTTTTTAAAAATATATATATATTTTTATTGATTTCAGAGAGGAAGGGAGAGCGAGAAATATCACTGATCAGAGAGAATCATTGATTGGCTGCCTTCTGCACACCCCCTACTAGGAATGGAGCCCACAACTCGGGCATGTGCCCTTGACCGGAATCAAACCTGGGACCCTTCAGCCCGCAGGCCGATGCTCTATCCACTGAGCCAAACCGGCTAGGGCCATTTTACTTTTTGCCAAAGTTTTCCTCTTTTGTCCTGAACTATCTGGGCAATTGTGTCTTACTTGTTTTTTGTTAGTGAACCTGGAAATTGATGAGGTGCTGCTAGGTAGTGCTGCCCAGTGGTTAACAGCGTGACATCAGAAATGTTTAGTCTTTTTTGATATAACAATCGGAAGTAAGTGAGAGTGTTCAGATAGAACAGTGAACTGTCTTGTTCTCAAATTCTCGTCTGTGGGACCAAAATCTTATTGTGGCCTCGACCGCGATGCAGTGGAAGGACTGAGGCTGACCCTCCATGGAACATCATAACGTCCCTCATACAGAGCAGCCGTGCGAGGGAAAGTGCCAGAAAAACCCACAGAGGCCTGGACCTTCCATCACTGGCTCTGTGGACTGCTTTTCTCATTTTTTTTAATAAAAAATATTAATAGTTTTATGACTATGCTCTTAAGTAAGTGCATTGCATGTTTTCAGAGTATGGGGATATATAAAATATGAAGATTAATAATAATTATGTAACTAAAAATAACATGGACTCTATTTAGATTCCCCTACATGAAGTTCTTTCATTTGGGGGCCTGGTGGATGTCACAAATCTACTTGCAGTTCCTTTGTTGGGGGATTTTCCCAGGGCTTCTTGCAACACCCCACCCCCTGCCACATGGCCCTCACTGTAGGACTGACAACGCTGAGCCTGGGGGGTTCCTCCCTGCCCACCCCCTACAGCCGGCTTGGGGTGCCACAGCGACTCGGCTGGGGCTACACAGGGGTCCGGCCTCAGCAGACTGAACCGAGGGCAGGCCTGTGCACTGTAGGGTTTCAGCAGCATCTGGCCTCCAGGCATGGCCAAGGTCTCCGGGGGTAATTGCCCCAGCTGAGAACCACTGGGCTCTCTGCACCTCTGCCCACCCCCAGGGGGAGTGAGGAAGCCCGGGATGGCTCAGGCACCTGAGGATGGTTACCTATAGGCAGCGGTGTGATATAAAAATACATGCATTTTATTTCACAGGAAATAGAGAGCATGTGAAACACTTGGACCAATTTTCTGACTTTTACTATCCTTAGACTTTTTCTCATTGCTAATCTGTGCTACTGTTTACCCTAATAATATGGAAGTTTGGCTGCTGGGCCGTCAGGACCCTTCATCCCATGATCTGGGCCCTGTCCCTTTGCCCCACCCTGACCATCCTCTTCATCCTGAATGTACTCTGCACTTTCCTGCTTTGCACCTGAGCTTCTAGAATAAACAAATCCTGACCTGCTCTTTTCATTCCGTCCAATCCATCCCACAGACCAGGATGGTCAATATCCCGCCTTGTCAACCCGCCTGTCACCTCCCAGGGGTCTTCCTCCCTCCCCCGAGAGCAGTGATACATCCTCCATAAGCACCCGCAACAGGTTTGGAACCAAATAACGTATCTTGTATCTTTGAGTTGGTTTCCCGCCATCCCCTCTGCCGGAGGGGAGACTCCCCGAGGCGAGGAAGTGAGAACTGCTCCTCTTTGCAGCCCCTAGAACGGTGCTTCTCAAACAATCTGCAGCAAAGAGCCCGTTTTTTAAAATCTTATTTACAACCCACATGGACTCGTGCTTCGGTGGAATACAATCAAATGGAGGAGGGAAGCCCTTCCACGCCATGGCTCTATCTTATTTCCACCAGGGGTGGGGAACGTCCACCGAGGGCCTTACACGGCCTGAGAAATCACTTGGTCTGGCCCTGCCAGGGCATTAATTAAATGTTTGACCAAACATGGCAGGCTAATTTTTAAGTTATAATTCTGAATGGCCTGAGAATGATGTGATAAATACCCAAATGGCCGTTGGCAGAAAAAAGGTTCCCCACCCCACCCCGCTACACATTTCTAAATGCTTCTCTCAGTTTCCGTGCCCATTTCATCGTGAACTAGTGACAGATAGTTAGGGGACCGGCAGTGTCCACAGACCACCCTTTGAGTAGCACCGTCCTGGACTCAATAGCATTTACCAGGACAGCAGTCCCAGAGGTAAGCGGGCAAGAGAGCCACCTGGAGGGCTTGTAGAAAGGACAGCTGGCCCCAGCCCCCGAGTCTGCGACTTAGCAGGTCTGTGGTGGGGCCTGCAAATTCTCGTTGCTGCTGGTTGGAAGCCTCACTTGGAGACTCACTGGGCTACAGAAACAAACAACTATCGGGTACACTGCCCTCATGTGGCTGCCTGCCCTCGGAAGCAATGGTTTGGGCCACCATGTTGTCAAGCTGAAGGGCTGCAGACAAGAGGAAACCCCGAGAAGCCGTGAGAAGCCAGAGGGCCCCTACCTTGGGGCTGTGCTGAGCCCAGCTCCTCCGCAGCTGGCTGGGCAGGTGACGTCGAAGAACATCGAGGCAACGTGTGAGGTGCCCCCCCAGCTGAAGGCCCCGGAGGTGGCTGGGAGGGTGGGGACTCGGTGGGCGATCCAGTCAGCTGTACCTGCTGCTGTGGTGACACAGGTGACAGACCAGGTGAGGGGCTGGGCGGTGAGGGCACAGCTGGGAGTGATACAGGTGGCAAGTCAGCTGCAG